TCCAAGAAAGGATTTCTTTCTGACAGAAAACAACAAGGTAAGAGAAAACTAGATGTTACCATTACATCAAACTGATGGTTATATTACACTTATTGTAGCAGTTCGTGATGCACTTGTGCAATGTTCAGACGTATTGTGAGATTTGCTGATGCTCTGCAACTGCTGTTGGCATGCAGGTATGCGCATTGCCTTTCACCGAGTCATGCCTCGAGAACAAGTCGTCTTACACGAATCCTAAGACAGGAAAATTGCTAGAAGTCTCACTAAAAATACCACGCCTGCATTCACTATCAGTGCCTCCTTTGTTTTTAGGATGCCCTTCGTACTTGTCGAAAGATGACCCCACTCCTACAGAATGCCCAGAAACAAAAAAAATGCGTCGAGAAGTGGCTGACATGGCTTGTGCCATCGCAGAATCGGAAATTTCAGATCGAGATGAAGAAACGAAATGTTTTTTTTCTTCACTTCCTGAACTTATGGAATTTTTGAAGATTGTATCAGTGCCAGATGAGTGGACTGTTAGTCACCGCCCAAACTGTGCCCTGTTTTTAAATATCGTCAATAAGAACATGCCAGTGTTGCGGTCGTCTGTCACTGTTTTCAGCGACCTGAGTATCAGTGTATGTTATCATGGTACCAAATTAGGCCGTGCAGGTGATTATATCGTGCCAGGAAGCATTGATAATGTGGATGTCCTGACTGACATCCTAAGTAAACTTCAAGCATCTTCATTGCAGAATGCTCCTCAGGAGGTCTTTCTGATGTAGTGGGTAACCTTCTCGAGCAACTTGAATGAAATGCTATTGACTGCAAGAAACGGATCATTCGATTCTTGCACTAACAAGCGGCGTTGCTTGGAAAAAAGTGGTTGCAGTATTCCTTCGAAAGTACGGTGGTCGCTTGTAAACTGCATACCGTATCTCCACAGGCCTACAAGTTTCTAAGAAAATCAGAATTTTTTGCCATGCGGCATCCCACTTGTAGAAATGTTTGCTCCTCATTCTAGTTGTCTCCTGCCACTGAATCAGCGAGTGAAAATATTCTTAGGTACATTACGTAGAAGCATCTGCAGCCGCATGAAAGTGACGTGGTTCTCATGCTCGACGAAATTCATATCCAGCCTTATTTAGATTTGAAAGGCAGAAAAATATCTGGAGCGGCGGCTAACCGTGAAGGGGCTGCTTCATGTGTTTATGCTGCAAAGCATGCAGGTCATGCACATTCTGCATGTACGAACAATGAGTTCAACACACTACATAAAATGTAATAATTGGCCTTGAGGAAATTATTTTTAAAGTTCTTACAGTAGTTTCAGACAACAACAATTGCAAGGCACTCAGTATGTTTTTCGACCCACCAAAGCTGAACATTAAGTACACAAATCCAAAAGATGCAACACGACCTATGTTTTATATTGTGGATTCTGTTCACTTATTGAAATGCATTCGGAATAATTGGCTAAATCAAAAGAATCCTGAGACAAACATTTATTTCCAATGTTTGATCTCACAAGCAACAGCATCCATCCTGACTGCATACAGTGGGCAGCGTTCAAAGACCTCCGTGAGGTGCACAAACTAGAGGCTTCACAGTTTTGAAGTATAGCTATCGCCTATCTTCACATGCGCTAAATCCTAGCAACTTAGAAAGGCAGAATGTCAAACTGGTTTTACAAATATTTAATGTTTTTGTGGCTGAGGCTCTGGATGCCCAATGCAGCTTTCATACTTTATGGCATGAAACTGCAAATTTTATCAGGATAGTTCTCCGCTGGTAGAAGATAGTCATCATTAAAACACCTTACAGAAATGTTTGTGGAGAGCCAGTTTCGTGCCTGAATGGTGACCCTAAGCTGGATGTGTGGGAATCCCACAAACATGACAAGAACATTCTCACACAAAAGCTCATGCTGCTCTTAGGCATTCCATTTACGCACTACTTGAGCTCACCAAGCACTGTCTTGTCAAACTTCGTTATAAATACAGTACAATCTCATTAATTCGAACACGCTTAATTCGAACTCACGATGAGGTCCCATCAAAGCTATGTGTTCCAATGGGCAAAAACGCCTGGTAATTCGAATGCGCAAGCACTTGCAATGGTTAATTCCAACATACCGTGCTCCGAAAATGCTCTCAGCACCCCGCCCAAGCCCGCGGCGATACCTCCGACACCTCAACACTGCACGCAAAGGAAAGGAAAAGAAAAGGTTGCTGTTGCTGTAGAATGTTTGCTCTCTCTCAAATGCCGATCTGCAACGCGCCTGTGCCACGCTTCTCCCTTTTCCACCCCTGCCGCTAAAGACCCTTCTCCTTCTAATGCCGCGCGCGACGAGAGAGAGCAAAAAAAAAAAAAAAAGAAAAAGACTGTCGCGGAGTGTGGCTCTCTCTGACGCGCCGGTGCCACGCTTTCTCCTTTCTCTTCCCTGCCACGTAACCCTTCCCCTTTCAACAACGCGCGCAAAGAGATAAAAAAAAAGCTGCCGTGGAGTGTTGGTTTTTTTCTCAAATGCCGATCTGCTTCTCTCCGCATGGAGACGCTCCTCCTTTCTGGTCACGTGCTGGCCACGCTGCGGCTTTGGCGCAGAGGGAAGTAGCGGAGATGCAGTCGTTGTCGTCATCAGAGAGTGTCGGAGCTTGACATAGCCGCGCGCACCTTCTCTGGCCAGTAGAATGCTGAAGCCAAAGTAGACGTGCTTTGCAAGCTGCATGCGAAACTGATTAACTCGCCGCAAGGCAAACGTGTGCAGATGCGCATCACAGATTACTTCAATTAATGATGAATGTCCAGTGGTTTGTGAATAAATGTAAGTCTTCTGAAACTTCTCCCTCGTGTGTTAGCTCAATGCACATACACCACTGCATGGGGAGCCCTCCGTTTACTTAGCTTTCATTAATTTGAACTTCTTTTGATTCGAACAAATTTTTGGGCCCCTTTGAGTTCGAATTATCAAGATTCGACTGTATGTGCTTCTTGGCAAACTTCAGACAGATGGTCTATAAAATCGATTTGGCCAGTACACCCAAATGGCTGGGGGTTATTACGACATTACCATTAGGCAGATGTACGAGAGTGAAGGCAGAATTCGCCTACAAAATTTTTTTTCCCATTATGAGCAGTTACGAGTTTATTGACATAGAGGCCCCTCCAGTAGAAACAGATATAAATCAACAGGACTTCAGAATTACTGTCAAACCTGAGGATCTTGAAAACTTAAGCACACACATCCCTGTTTTTGCTCATGCTTCTGCACAAACTTTGTGATGAAAAGGTTCAAGTGCAACTACTGTCAAGAGAACTTGGTTGCTGACAGTTGCGACCCTAAGTGTGATGATGATGCTAATTCTTCAATAGCAAGTCTCAATCGGGGCAGCTTGAAATTCCTGAACGCCTGTGTTGTGACTGTAGCGATGCACACTGATGTTGTTGTTTCAAAGTTGCTGCAGAATGAAAAAAATGCCGCATGCTTTCTGCAAACACGAAATCACCATGGTATTGTTCAGCAGCTTGTAAAGAAGAGCCTGCCAGCATTTAAGGAACTGGTGATCTGTGCGAAAAGTCATGAACTAGATTTGGTATTAAATCTGTTGATCAAATGTGCAACAAATATTGTGCTAATTAATTACTGCAAAAAGAGGAACGCCGCCGCCGCTGTTGCTGAAGACAATGCGAAAGCTGTCGCAAAAGCACAGAAATTGAAAACTGTTGCTCTGAAATAGTGATTATGTTTTATTTGTAATTTTTATTATTGTGTTCACGTATCTGTACAATAGACTCGTGCCTCTTTTATGTGTGTTTAAATGTTCAATAAACTACCTAATACAGGAAAATTTCATGTCCATATTCTGATAAGTGACAGTACGCTCCATATGTTGTTTGAGAAGACATTCGAAAGTGAGAGAAAACAATATAGCTGAGAACAACAATTTGCCTAAACCTGTACTATGTCGCGATGAAACTATTTCACTGCGAGAGGAGTGCCAAAAGCAGCGTGCCCACACAGGACCTGTTGGACGGCGAATGATGACGTAGCCGACGTCATGTCACGCCTGAAGAATTTTAAAAGGTGTTGGGCTAGAGCATCCTTCTATATATATATATATATATATATATATATATATATATATATATATATATATATATATATACGTGAATGACGGTGGCTCCAGCGACGGCAGCGACGACAACAAAAAACAGCCGAGACTGTCCATACAATTGCTAGCGCAATAAAAATTCACCGACAATTACAATACTGCCTGATGCGAAATCTCAGCACGGTAGGCATTTTGATTTTGCCAAAAGCTGAGGTAAACAACTTGACAGAGGCATGCATACTACACTGTTAGTAGCAGGAGCATTTTGTGCCGCCCATTTCACATCCATCACCGTAGGCGGAGACCAACGCAAATGCCTTGCTAATGAGAGACCACGAAAGAGAGTGCGTGAATGTGTTCCACAACATCCAACAAATTATGGTACGCACTACAGTGATGCCGCAGGTGGCTGCTGCAGAACCTGTTGCCTCGCCCTTGTCGTTCCCTCTTTTTTGAGCTCTATTGCCTTGTTTCATCTTCCAGTGTGCTCTGCATTCGCTCACTGTTGTCCTTGTTTGTTCTGCCAACCGGCAGTGACACCCCTGCTGACCCTCAACCCAGGAACAAGTGTCGAAGTGCGTTGCTCTAAAGCCTCAATGTGCTATGTTCACACTAAGGGGCAGTCAGAGGTCCGCTTGTTCCATGCAACTCAAGCGCTTGCATGGAGCCCCTTCATGGAAAGCTTGTGGTGGTGCCCCACGGACAGCAAATGCAGTGAATGTGTTTGGAAGGAGATTGAACTGAATTAGCATGCCACATTGTCTATTTTCCCAAGAGCACACCATCGCACCATATATTGCATAATCATCAAATGACTGGACATCATCAACGACAAGAAAGAAAGGTGCACCTTCCATGTACCACCATGCAAAAATTCCCCCCCCCCCCCCCCAAGTACAGACTCACCACTAAGAGCTCGCACTGCCTCCAAGGTGGCTTGTTCCAGTCCCATGCCAGGTATGTTAGGGGTGATTGATGCTGGTGTGGTCGTTGGCTCATCTGAAAAGTCGGGTGCACCAAGAATTAAAACACTCGTATGTAGTATCCTGCGTTTCTTTGCGCAAATAACTTAAAATCACATCATGAGTCGGACAAAAATTTAGTGTGAACCTATCTCATTCAAGCTTGAAATCCTTACTTGGGTCTCTTTTTGGTGAGCTCAACTCTTTGTTAGATACAATTAAATGAATACAATAGTCAGTCAAGCTAAGGAAAGCATGGGGATCATTATTTGTAGTTTTTAACTAGAGCATAATAATTTGACAATAGAAGACGCTTCCCGTCCACCTCACTGAGCATTTCTGTGTATGGGGGTATGAGCCAGGGCAACCTGTAGCCAAGGCGGCAAGTGTGAATGTTCACAGGAGGGGGGGGGGGGGGGGGGGGGGGGGCTTGAGGCATGTCATACTTGCACAGGACGGCAGCGGATGCTTTGGATGCTGCTTGAAGACATTAGGTCGGCCAGACTTGTGCAGGCTGAGAAAGCAACACAGGACGATAGTTTGAAGTTTCCTAACAGGCAGTGCAACTGCAGTGTGACCTAATTTTGTGACGTGTAATTTGAATGTCATAAGTGTAGTCCCTGCTGGTTACAAGTCATCTTCTCGTCTACTTTTCTTTCTTTACTATTACACTACAATTCCTACTAACATCTCACACAATTTCCTTGCCATCATTATCTACTAGTTCTCATTAATACTGTGTCTAACTAATTTTCAAAAGCAATCACATATCACGGAAACTGCACAAAAGAACAGCACAAGCACATACTAATGACTGAAATTTTTTTTATTTTTTTTTTGTTTAAAAATACCTTACAGGCCCTTGTTGCAGGGCATTGTGTAAGGGGGGTTACAAAGGGTGAGTGTCGTGACAAAACCGTAAGGAAACATCAAACTTTGAAAGAACTCAACAAAAAATAACGCGTTATATGTCACTAAAGAGAGAATGTACAAAAAGTCATTTGAAGTTACACATCGAAACATTGCTGGTGGGAGGAGAACAAATATCCGCGATACACTTACTGAAGAACACCTAGCACACACGTAGCCAAAAATATTTTAGAGCAGCGCACAGAAAGCAATTTGTTCTTGTTTAAGAAATACAGGATAATAAAGGGCGATAAGAGAGTTTTTCCCGTGTGTATAAGAACATTATAAAGTAGGAAAATGCAGGCGGTCACAAAGTGTGAAAAAAAAAAAGCGCGTGCTCTTTACTGAACGAACACAAGGCCCTAAGCTGTAGGCGGGAGGAAATGGAAAAAAACGAATGAATATAATTACACTGGAACGATACAGGAGGTGCAACAAATACTTGTAAAAAGGAACCAATCGAAGTGTCTATGACTGAAAGAAAGAGTGAAGAAGTTGTCTGAATTTTTCGGGGTCTGATTGATATGCAATGTCATTCGAGAGATCATTCCACAAGCGGATGACGCGAGGAAGAGCCGATGAGTTAAAGGCGTCCGTTGACCCATATAATCGCGTGAAACTTAAGTTATTATGCAGCCTACGAGATGTAACGCAAGGTTTATCGAGTTGAAATGGGAATGGTTTGTTACTGTAAACATACTTATGGAAGAGGCATAGGAGAGAAATATCCCGCCGAGTACTCAACAGTTGAAGAGAAAGGCAAAGTTTAATTTCCGTTATGCTGCTATGGTAGTCGTAATTTCGTGAGATAAATCGGGCTGCCCTATTTTGAATAGCTTCAAGCATGTTGATTAAGTAATTTTGGTATGGGGACCAGATCGATGCGGCGAATTCAAGTTGTGGGCAAACGAAGGTCTGATAAGCTAGCTGCCGAACATGGGATGAACAGCTATGCAAGTTGCGGCGAAAGCTATGCAAGTTGCGGCGTAAGTAACCCAATGATTTTGAAGCTTTCGCACAAATGGTGGTGATATGGTGTGACCAAGAAAGATTTGGTGTGAAATAAATACCGAGGTACTTGTAGGATGATGCGTACGACAGAGGGTAGTCATCAATTATGTACGAATGGCTAGAAATATGTTGCTTGCGTGTAAAACACATAATTTTGCACTTCTGCTTGTTTAGCGACATAAGCCATTTTTTGCACCAGTCATTAATCTTGTTGAGGTCATTTTGCAGTGTTAGGTGATCATCGGTACAGGTTATTGAGCGATATATAATGCAATCATCGGCGAAAATTTGCATGTGAGATGAGGTGCTGATTGGCAAATCGTTAATATAAATTAAGAACAGCAGGGGGCCGAGGACGCACCCCTGCGGTACACCTGAGGTTACGTGAGAAAGAGGGGATTGGATATTGTTTATTACCGTGAACTGCTGGCGGAGTGAAAGAAAGTTTCGAAGCCAAGATAAAGCACGGCCGGGCTAGAGAGCGAGCGGCGCCCGCGCTTTTACGGCCTTCGCAAGAGGCCTAGTTCCTGCCTGCGGCCGCTGCTAGGAGCTGGCGCTGCGGGCCAACCATGCGGACGCGCTCGTCTACCACTCCGCGTGCGGGCGAGCTATGCGCGGCCTCTGCTCTTCTTTTTTTTTTATTTTTCACTACAATCACCACTACTGGCGTACGCAGAAGGGGGGTTAAAGGGGGCCGGGTAGGAAGAACCAAACGAAGACTGCGTGCCCATCCCCGAATAATGGTTCCTGATCTTCGGCTGATTATTTGTGTCGCACGCTACGCACCAGCCCACGGCCGGGCTAGAGAGCGGCGCCGCGCGCGCTACAGCGCGCGCCGCTTTCTCTCTAGCCCGGCCGTGACCAGCCATACGCGACTTCGATGTATGTTCTCAAAGCGACGATGAGCCATTTTGCAATTTCTCTGAAGAAATTAATGAAATAATTACAAAATTCGACAGAACGTGGAATCGCCCTAAATTTTTAGTGTATTGTGAATAAATTACAAGCTTTGGCTTTTTTCTGTTGTGTGGTTTAATTTTTGTGTACTTTTTTGGTCTTTCACGCTGCCCTCCCTGCCCCCCCCCCCCCTCCCCCTTTTCTGAACTGAAATCCTAAGTACTCCGCTATCGTGGGCGCCCGCCATCGGGTGCAACAAACAGAATTGCTGCAAAATTTTGCTCTCAGCGCAGCGTGATTGATTCGCCTTGGCTAGTTTCAATGTTTCGGTTTCATATGCAGGTTGAAGTACTTAGCGGCGTACTCTAATTGTCATAGGTTACGACTTAAAACTTGCAGAGCGTTAGTTAGAAATCTTTAAAAACGCATGCCGAAGAAAAAGCATCGGGGATAATCTGTGAACTGAAAGGCACCAGGCAAACTGGAAACGAGTTTATTAGTTTATTATATGGAAACGAGTTCGAGCACCAGAAAAATCATCTTCGGCGTGACAGAACAGTCTTGCACAAAAGAAACGTTGTTCGAGCTGGAGAAGCTTCACAGTCGGAAGTGCTTCCTCGACGGCTTATGTGTATAGTTCATGTGCTTTTCATTGTCGTCGGTGACTCGAGTGGAGTGATTCACTAAAAGGATCCTGAAGAATTTGTCAGCAATCAAACTTGCTGACCGTCTTCCGTGACTATTGTCAACACTTTCGGGGCAGTTCAGCAGAGGTACGTCCTCAAGATGCGGTCCTACGAGCAGCTGTAGAACTTCGAGAACATGCGTGCATGGCAGGTTTTTGCTATTTTCTCGAAGAATGTGACGATCCCGTTTAAAAGTGCAAGGAACTCTGGCCTCGGGTAGGCAAGGCCGCTTCTGTCCTGGCCTCTCAAAAGCGCGTACAGTGGCTGATCTTTGTCGCTTGTAGTGAGGAGCATGGCGCAAGATTCGCACCCGAAGTCCGTGATCAGTTTCGCGATGTTACCCCCACAGACAGTGGGGGAGCAGAAGTACATTCCCTAAGCTCTTTCAGGTCGTCAGAGAACGTCACCGACAGGCTACTGACCAACTTGTCAACATCAGTGTCGCACGTCACGACTTCAGGTGGCCTTGCAAACTTGGATTTTACAATTTGGTCCAAAGCAGCCGTCACAGCCCGGGCGTCGAGCATGTCGTTTCCACTGCACATGTACCTGACTCTGCCGAATACTGCTTCTATGGGGTCGCTGTTTAGCTTCCTTGTTAGCACGTAGTTGATGCCTTGGGTTAGGAGGTATCGAGTTGTTTCCACTGTTGACTTTGTAGTGAAAAGCAGGGCCTCAAACATTTCGTCAATGAAAGCGCCCTTCCCAGAGGCGACTGAGCTTGCTTGTACTTTCTTTACATAGCACGTGAAGTCATTTTCTAGCCACAATAGCCGGCCATCGTCCACGTCTGCAATGGGGGCCTTCTGCCCCGTTCCCCCGAAAGAGGTGTCGTGCATATCAAACCAATCTTTCATTGTCCTCATGAAGTGCACGGTGGAACTTGCTCACCTAAATGCGGAGAGTGCAGGGTCATTGCGGGAGTTTTCTTCGAGGTGTTCCAGTGCTGCACAAACCTGTGGGGAGAATATCTGAACCGCACGAAGTACATTCATCTTCTCCAGGTTTGTAGGGTAGACGTGCTTCCTCGTCAAATTCCTGGCAAGCTTGATTGTCATATTCTTCTGGTGCTCGTACAGCTGTTGTACGAAGGTGCCACTAATCACACCTGAGCCATTCGTAAGCTGTCGCTTCAGGAACTGGTTGCGCACATTCTTCAGGACGTGGCAAGGATCGAAGCTGAGCAGAATGATGCGGCTGTCATCGTGTGGGTGCCTCACGACTGTTTGCAGAGAGCCACTCCCCAAGTGTTTAAACAAGGTGACGTTGGCTGAGTAATTGTCAGTCACAATGCGGGTCACAACGAAGCCACACAATTCCACCGCAGCGATCACCTCTTTTGTCCACGTGAACAGGTCCCTGCCGCTCAGCTGTTTTGTGAAGTAATACGAACAGGGAATTTTGTACTTGCTTGACAGGCCTTGCAATACAAAGCACAAAACTCTGTTCGCGAGCACTTCCTTCGAGCTGCTGGGCGTATCACCGCCGGGCTTGTCTTTAAGGCCAAACACAGCGTCGGCCTTCCTGTCATAGA